AAATAAAGAATTAGTCTTTGTTTATTATTACAGATATAAGAAATTATTTTTAGCTTGATTCAATCAAAATTATTAACTATAATGCTTTAGTTAGATATATATTTTTTTAGTTTTATAAAACAATCGTAAGCGCCATTAGCCTCTTCAATTTAGCACAATATATTTTATAGTTACTGCTATATTACATTCACATAATCGTTAGTGTTGTTGTTGTATATCATAATGGAAGAGCGGTAGAGCGGTGAGAAGAATTGGGTTCTCATAGCTACGCAATTTTGGCCGCACATAGAACCATAGCGTTTGCCAAAATAGTTGGTGGCGATTAGTTTCCTAGTGTTAGGTCATATCCAATTTGTTAGGAAAAAATAAAGTAGATAATAAAATATATCTGCATCACAATAATGAGCTTTGAAATGTATTATAATTAATATATTTTCTATACAAACCTTAAAGCTCAAAATTTAATTAAAAATTATACAATTTATTTTTCAGTTTTTATAATTACTGTCTGAATTTTTAATTCATATATGATGTTTTCAATAACTTTTCTGAAAAGTTTATATTCTAAGAAGATAGTTCATACATATATTGTGTTAATAATTTTAGCTCTATCATCGATTTTATAGATGATAAAATTACATTCAAACCCATTTTGGACAAAACAAAAAAAAATAGTAACATTTAAAAAAAATGGATCAGTAGAGGGATCCATTGTAAGAATAAAGTGTTGTTTATAAGTAGAGGGCGGATAAGGGTCTGTTGGAAAATCAGCTTTTCTAATTTATTTCTGAAAGTTTGTGTTATGTTAAATAAAGAAAAAAACCTCATCCACCTGTTAATAAGATGAAAAATAAATAAAGTTTTCATTATTTTAGATAAATAAACATTAAATCTTTTACAAACATTTGCATATTGGAAGCACGGAAAGTTTCAGGAAGAAACTTATGTACATGAATTAATTTCTTTAATTAACTTTCCAAGAAAAATTGGTCTTATATTTAATTCGCAAATAAACGTGCTTTATTTGGGTGTCGATTTAATTCCAAACAAGTTTTAAATTTTCTACAAATTATACAGAAAAAAAAACTCACTAAACTATTCAAATATTTATTAACACTTTCTCCCTCACTATATCCTTATCATTTAAAATACTAATACTATTAAAACACTAATGAAATATATATTAATTTACTTGTAGACTCATGGACTTTTTCCCACCAAATAAACGCACTGAAGATTATTTAAAACAAGTTTTCCTTGAAAAGGATCTAACTGAAATAATAAAACTACACAAGGCTCAGGCAAGCCAAGAAGCAAAACGTGAATTGCAACAAACTTTAATTGACGACATTAATGATGAAAAAGCACACTCAGAAATAACAGCAAATATCAAAGATTTTGCACTGAAATCTAACATTCCCGATCATGAAGTTATTATAATTGTAAGTGTTCATTCTTCATTTGTTTTAAATTAACTAAACTATACATTGAATATATCTAAAAAAAAAGGGGCGAGTACGATAAGCCCGGTTAAATCATTCTTTAGTTAACTTAAGTATTTTCTTAACCTGTGGATGCGTCCATTAACAACTATTTATTCACTATGGATAGTTAACCATGGTTATTAAAAATTATAGACAGTTATTACAATTTTTCTACTGACATGGCTCACTGATTAACATTGTTTTGCTTTTTAACTAGTCTTAAAAATGTTTTAATAAAAAAAATTTTAATTATATTGATTAGAAAATCTATCAATTCATCGGTTAACCAGTGCTTGAAATTAAGCGGAAAAAAGGTGAAAAAACCGATGCTATATATGAATAGGACTATTAAATATAATTCATATAAATCATGAAGACAACTCTTTCGCTCGTTGATTCGCGTATGCAACCAGTGCATACGCCCACAGTTCAAATAAACTACACTCTTTCGCTACAGTAGTGGACAACTGTCAATGTAGTTCACTTATGGCGTAGAATACAGTAGTCAGCGACTGTAGCTTAATCAATCAGAGTATTTAGCAATGAATTTGCTCAACTTCATCTTTAATATTCCTTGCTACTGAGATTTAATAATGCGTTGAGCATAATAAAGCGATGTTATACAGAACGTCAAATGTAAAATTTTCAACTTCTACATAAATTTAAAAAAAAAAATTAAAGTTAATGATTAAATATTTTAAATTTTGCCACAAAAAAGCATACCAAACAAGTAGTAAAGGTTAAGAAACTGGCTATTGTGAGATGACGACTCTCTGTATATGTGTGACAACTAACTGCACCAAAAAACAAATAGTGGCGTGTAAGAGTAAAATACAAAGTATTAAGAACAAAAAATATTTGTGCAAGAACAAACGTTTGGAATTGCAATAAAATCTTAAAAATTTAAAAAAGTGCCAGCTAATTGCATTAAACCAACGAATAATAAGCAAATCATTTAAATAAAAACTTCTGTGTAAACATTTTCAATTATTATTTTTGTTACGAGATGTGGACTGCAACTGTCAGATCTATATTGTGTAGTCTTCTGGGTTTAGTGTAGGTCTCTAAAGCTCTTCCGTAAGGGTATATATTCACAGGAATCTATTCCGTTTGTGCATTAGCGCAGGGCATTCTAACAGCACATGTGTGGCTGATTCTTCATTCTCTTTGCAGAATCTACAGTTTGCATCCGTATATATCCCCAGTTTTGATAAGGTGATATTTTAATTTACAGTGCCCTGTTAGGATTTCTGTGATGATTCTATGTTTTTCCTTTGACAAATCCGCACACTCCTGGTATCTTTGATTGTTATAGGTACCAATAAGTGATTTAAATTGTTTTAATCCTGGTATATTATCCCAGTAATCTTTTTATCCCTTTTCAATGTAAATAGCTTAGTGTAGAAATCTTCCATGATTATTTTAAATATGATAACTCATTTATAATAATTTCTGCATTTTTCAGATTTGGTCTACTATAATGTCACTCGGCGAATGGAATAAAAAAGAAGAACTTGTAACTGATCAAGCAGTAAGGCATCTAAGGGGCTACTGCCCACTTTTACAAGCTTTTGCTTCAACTGATCGATCCGAATTGGCACTTATATTGAAGGTGCAAGAATTCTGTTACGAAAACATGAATTTTATGAAGGCTTTCCATAAAATAGTTTTGTTGTTTTATAAAAGTAAGTTATAAACAAATTGACAATATTAAATTTTATTTGTAATTAATACTGTATTTTATATTTTAGCTGACGTACTTTCTGAAGAAATTATACTCAAATGGTTCAAAGAAGCGCATTCGAGCAAGGGCAAGATGCATTTCTTGGAACAAATGAAAAAATTTGTTGAATGGCTACAGCTCGCTGAAGAAGGTGAGTGTGAACTAATTAATTTTAGAATTAAAATTAAAGTGTTAAGCAGAAGGCAATATTTTGAGAATAATTTTGATTAATAAATACATACTTATCAATTTTGTTGTACCATATTGCCAGACTAATATAATTTGTTTTGCTTGCCTAATTATTTTTTTACTATAGATACATTAGGCCAATGAAAATTATGACAAAATAATATTAAAACTATTGATATGCATTTCTAAATTTTAAAATTTAAAATTAATTGTTCTCATAATTATTTTGAAGTAACTAAATGCTAGAAAAATGTGCATTAATTTTGGGTGTCTAACTTCCTAAAATTTCATGGATTCGATTAGACAAATATTAGTGCTACATATCACAAATAGAATATCTAAAAAAAGGAATAAAATAGATTTGAACAATTACTATTAGATTTAATTTAATTATAATTATATAATATATATATATATATATATACATAAAAAAGTCGATTCAAATAATTAATGATTCATTATTTTTATT